GCATCACTTACCACAGTGTGGGTCCTGATCTAAAAATAGAAATAGGATGAGTGCGCGCGCGTGTGTGTGTGTGTGTGTGTGTTTTTGTATTATAATCGCTCTACCAAAAAACGATCCCTGCGTGTGCGTGCAACCTTTCCTCACATCCAACATCCCAGTAATTTCTCGTGGAAGCGCAGAGGATTTCTAGGTTTCCTTCACAGCGAGTACCACGTCAACACATTCCTTCCCATTCCCTAGTTGACCTGCAATATTAGATCTCCAATTCTTACACATTGAGGATGAATGTTAGTCCCAAACATCATCTGTTGGTTCTCTGTGTAATTGCAGCTGATCTGGTAATAACAGAGCAGCAACCGTGGGCGGTCAATCTGATTTTTTTTTTCTTATGCAATGGTTCATCAGAGAGGGGAAGCTCAGTAATCCTCATCGCATGCTCATGACGCTATTCTGTCACGGCATGAGCCAACGATGCCGGACCTAAACCAACCGTCTCCAACGCTCCACTATGAAGCATAAGATTAGGCCCGCCCACCAACGTCCAGGTTAAAAACTAGCCAAGGGGTGGGCTTTTCAGCCAAATGTCAAATTAAATAGATATTAATTGTTTAAGAGATTGATAATCTTATGGCAAGATTAAGCAACTGTATTGCGGAAAACACTGTTTTCTGCAGTGTGACATAGTAGCAATGATGTTTGTCCTCTATTCTACGCGCCGTGAACACCAATGTTGCCTGCTGAACAGATGATTGAGCATAATCATAAGACATGATTGAAAATTGGTCTTCAACAAAGTTGTAGCTGAGGAAATTTTCAATAAGCTTAGCTATCATTTTCTGAAGTAGAGTGAACTGGTGAATTTTGAGATAGATATGAATCGAAATTATGGTTTCTCCATAGTTATTCCCATATACACTTCAAACGGTTTGTGCCAAGTCAGTTTCTCATTAAATGAGTTCAAATTTTGGAAGGCTAATCAAGGCCCAATTTGGAACCGTTTGAGCACTGTGGAGCAAAAATTTCAAATTTTGCATCAGTCTAATATTTACCTGGTATAGGGATTACCGTGATCATAATCTCAAACAGGGTTCCTTCCATTCATTTTGGCTAAAAAAATGTTTTATAAAATTATGGAACAATAAGATATTATAATAATATTTTGTTTGTGTAAGCAACAAGAAAAGATTGTGGAGTTTGTGTTTGACACATAATACCAGCCAATGTTGCTGCATGAGAGTCGCAATAAGCGATTTTGTCATTTATCTCACCCACTCTTCACTCTTCACTCTTCGCGAAGAGGCGATCAGAAAATCGCTCATTGTGGCTCTGTCAAAGCTAAATTTTCAGGTTTTATGTGTCAAACACAAACTTTAAAAATTTGTCTTGTTCCTTACACATACAAAATACCATCATAATATCGTATTATTCCATAATTTCCTAAAACATTTTTTTAGTCAAAATGAATGGAAGGCACCCTGATCTCAAAGTTCTCCGGAAATACTCATAATAAGCCAGGGGTACCAGAACATGCCCGAGAGGGCTAGTGGAACCGTGGACTGCCAATAAGGCCATTACCGGCCAAGTTTGATATGTCGCACGACGGGTTTTGGTGCTTGTTGAAAATTGACCACTTCTTCGGAGGCACCGGAACATGACCGGGAAGACTAGTGTGACCGTGGACTGTCAATAATGTCATTACCGGTCAAGTTTGGAAAAATCATGAAGTTTGATATGTCACACGACGGGTCTGTTGCCTTTTTTAGAATTGACCACTTCTCCGGAGGCACCGAAACATACCCGGGAAGACTTGTGTGACCGTGGACTGCCAATAAGGCCATTACCGGTCAAGTTTGGTAAAATCATGAAGTTTGATATGTCACACGACGGGTCTGTTGCCTTGTTGAGAATTGGCCACTTCTCCGGGGGCACCGGAACATACCCGGGAGGGATAGTGGGACCATGGACTGTCAATAAGGCCATGTTTTTAAAAATCATGAAATTTCATATGTCACACAACGGGTTTTGGTTCTTGTTGAGAATTGGCCACTTCTTCGGAGGCCCCGGAACATGCCCGGGAAGACTAGTGTGACCGTGGACTGTCAATAAGGCCATTAGAGGCCATTTTTGAAAATTCATGCAGTTTCATATGTCGCATGACGGTTTTTGGTGCTTGTTGAGAATTGGCCACTTCTTCGAAGGCACCGGAACATGCCCGGGAAGACTAGTGTGACCATGGACTGTCAGTAAGGCAATTACCGGCCAAGTTTTGTAAAATCATGAAGTTTGATAAGTTGCATGACGGGTTTTGGTGCTTGTTGAGTTTCATATGTCGCACGACGGGTTTTGGTGCTTGTTGAGAATTGGCCACTTTTCCGGAGGCATCGGAACATGCCCGGGAAGACAAAGGTGACCATGAACTGTCAATAAGGCAATCACCAGCCAAGTTTGGTAAAATCATGAAGTTTGATATGTCGCACGACGGGTTTTGGTGCTTGTTGAAAATTGGCCACTTCTCTGGAGGCACCGGAACATGCCCGGGAAGACTAGTGTGACCGTGGACTGTCAATAAGGTCATTACCGGCCAAGTTTTGTAAAATCATGAAGTTTGATATGTCTCACGACGGGTTTTGGGTCTTGTTGAGAATTGGCCACTTCTCCGGGGGCATCGAAACATGCCCGGGAGGGCTAGTGGGACCGTGGATTGTTTATAAGACCATTACCGGCCAAGTTTTGAAAAATCATGAAGTTTGATATGTCGCATGACGGGTTTTGATTCTTGTTGAGAATTGGCCACTTCCCCGGGGGCACCGGAAGATGTTCGAGAGGGCTCGTGTGACCGTGGATTGCAATAAGGCCATTACCAGCCAATTACCTGAGCAAGTTAGATAAGCTTCATTGATAGTCATAAGAATCTAGAAATAAAAATCTACTAAAATAATTTTCGAAAATGTGGTAACATTTACGTCTAAATATTATTAACCTGCACAATATCGATCAGAAACCTGCTGAACAATAAATTTTAACTAATCATGATTTTGTTACATAATGCGTGAAATTAACGATTTACATAGTTGGAGATGCTTAACGTCAATACCAGACATAAAGTGAACATTATTTTATACGATAGATGAGGAGATGAAAGTATAGAATTGATAAATCCGTTATAGGACGACAGTGTGAAAATTGTACACACTTAGAAATGATTACCGACTTCGGTAGTTCTGACCGAATTTTCAACAGCTGAACTGTTCGGTAAAAAGCAGACATTTTAAAACATTAGATATAAAGCATCAAAACAAAGAAAACTTCACCGCAATGGCAAGACTCGATTATTTAAACAAGACTTACAGTGTTTTGAAATTAAAATTTAGTGAAATAGCGATTGAAATCAGGGTCAAAGTTTTACCAAACGTTCAGCTGTTGAAAGTTCAGTAAAAAATTACCGAAGTCGGTAATAATCTCTAAGTGCGTATATAGAAAATAGAAAGCAAGCAAAGGACAATTTTGAGGAAGGTACGAATCGGATCGAGCATTCCCTTTACCAAACTCATCCGTTGATGTGAGGGGCGGGGTGAGGGGTTTTTCCGACGTCACACACTCAAGTCACCATCTGTCGTAAGCATCTCTAGATAGGGCTGGAATTAGGGCGTAACAGCTTTTGTGAACAATGACTTCTCGAAAGTGTTGGCTGTCCCCGGCAAATCGACATAACCAGCGAGAAGGGGAAGACTTCCCGTACCCGATGGATATGTGGGTTTGTGTAGGCCTGCCTTGAATTCCTAGAAATTAACGAGAGGAGTCATTGTTTACAAAGGCTGTTACGCCCTAATTCCAGCTCTATCTAGATTCTAGCCGATGGTTTTGAAATTGCAGTTATTGTTAGCTCATCCAACCGAATTACCCCATATTATATCAGCACAGCAAAGTGCTATTCTTCGATATTCAAATTTTTCAACCAAACACCAATCGAAGATCAATCAAATATTGGAAGAGGTTATGTTACGATGCATCGAATATGATTTACGTCCCCAGCCAGGTTGACATTTTGCAAAACGACGAGTATCAAAATAAATTCACCACCAGACATTTTTACGATCACGGGACATCTCACAGCATCAAGCGCATCCAGGAAACATCGATCGAACCACCAAAGCACCAGTTGATGGCTCAAATGCTTCAGCGGATGCATCTGAAACTGGAAAGCGATTTTTTGAGCTCGAAATGGAAATTACCATTTTTGAAACCGGGAAATATGCTAAGTGGTCCAAAAGAGATGGTTCTCGGAGATATGCTAGAATCCGACCAAATGGACTATTTTAGATGTTTGTTTGAATTATATGTAAGCATAAGGCGCGAGTTGCGAGCTAATCCGGTTTGCTAAATTTTCCGTTTAGGGCGGGGCAAAAACAAGTTTTCGGACCGAAAAGGGACTGACATAGAAAAGGCCCTCCAATGGTGATAAATTCACACGGGGGGTAATAAATTAAACCGAATCCAACGACCGCCAAATTTGATAGCTTAGTGGCACCTGTCAGCTTGGCTGGTGACTCAGGCGTGACATTCTGAACGTGAAATGCAGTCAAATAAACAACCAACCACTGCCATTTATCAACGCCCACCGCTATCACCGGGAGTCACTCTAGATTTGATGGCATCAGAACTCTTCACATCGATCTGCCACCGACTTGGAAGGGAAGGCGCTAGCGGTAGCTGGAGTGGTGGTGGCGACGCCTGCAGATAAACCAATAATGAGCCACAATCGCTTTGACTCTCCGGCAAGTGGGGATCATCTTCCTTCTAGCGTCGTCGAGCTCAAATCTGCGATATGCTACCACCAACGAACGACCGCGGCGATTAGAAAAACAAAATAAGAAGAATAACCACCCCGAAAAACCACATCCCTATCGAAATCTTGCACGCGCGATTGCCGACAACAGGTTAACAGACAGACGTGCAAGGCTTTTGGACAAGTTTTTTTTTTCAGTTTGTGGGGCGGTATATAAAAACCGAAAGCATTATCTCATCTTCATTCCAGCTCGATTGATCGTTCTAGTAACAACGTTAGTGTTTGAAAAAAGACAATGCGCGCCATAGTGGTAGGTTTCGGGTGAAAAATAAAGGATTCTCAGGACTAAGTGAAAAGAAGCTGCGGTTGTTGTTGTTGAGTTCTGTGTGATGAGTGAAATGGACTGATCAGTGAAATTTGCGTGAAATTATGTGAACTGGTTATTCGGAGGGGTGGCTTCTTTTCATTTAGAGATTCTGTTCTAATCAACTGCCATCTATTGATGGGAAGCAGTTACTAATGGAAAGTCCTTTCTTCACAGTTATTCTCCGCCTGTCTGGCGATCGCGTCCGCCGACATTGGCCTGAAGTTACGTCAGGCTGCCGCCGCCAGTGGTGCCGGTGTGTCGAGCTATGATGTCGGTCAGGGTTCCGTTTCGGTAGACTACTCGCCCGCTAGCTTTGATCAAACTGTGGTTGGCAGTGGTGGCAGCAGCGGTGCCGAATTCCGCTCGTCTGGATTCTCTGGAGCTATTTCTGGTGCTAGCGCTGGTGCTAGCGCTGGTGCTGCTGCTTCCGGTGGTGCTCAGTACGATGCAGGATTCCAGGCTGGACTTGCCGCTGGACGTGCTGCCCTCGCCTCGTCCAATGCCGGTGCTTCGTCGTTCTCTGGCTCTGCTTCTCGCCTCGGAGGTGCCGCTTCTGGAGGTTCTTCCTTCGGTGGAGCTTCTTCCTTCGGTGGAGCTTCTTCCTTCGGTGGAGCTTCTTCCTTCGGTGGAGCTTCTTCCTTCGGCGGTGCCGCTGCCGGTGGTTTCAGTGGAGCTTCTGCCAGTGCTCAGGCTAAGGCCGGAGCCGGTGTCCGTTACATCACCAAGCCAGAGATTGTCAAGAAGCACTTCTACTACCACGTTGCCCCAGAAGCCGAAGCTGAAGCCGAAGCCGAAGCCCGTGTCGAAATCCAACCCCAGACCCACTACAAGGTTCTGTTCATCAAGGCCCCGAGTGCATCCGCTAGTGCCGCTGCCCGTGCCGCCGCTCGTACCCGTACCCAGGAGAAGACCATTGTCTACGTTCTGGTTAACAAGCCAGAAGCCGGAGCCAATTCCGCCGCCGATGCCGCCGTCGATACCTACAACAGTGCCAAGCCGGAAGTCTATTTCATTAAATACCAGGGCAAGAACGGGTAAGACCACGATTAAACATCTAACATGAACCAGAAGTTTAGCGTTTTTTTTCTTTTGAATCCTCAGAGCTAAGGCTGGTGCTTTTAGCGGTGCTACTGCTGGTGCTGGTGGTGCTGCTTCTAATACCTTCGGTGGACCTTCGTCCGGTGCCTTCGGTGGAGCCTCGTCCGGTGCCTTCGGTGGTGCTTCTTCGGATGCCTTCGGTGGAGCCTCGTCCGGTGCCTTCGGTGGTGCTTCTTCGGATGCCTTCGGTGGAGCCTCGTCCAGTGCCTTCGGTGGAGCCTCGTCCGGTGCCTTCGGTGGTGCTTCTTCGGATGCCTTCGGTGGAGCCTCGTCCGGTGCCTTCGGTGGTGCTTCTTCGGATGCCTTCAGCGGTGCCTCGGGTGGATCTTCGTTTGACTTCAGCAACGGTGGAACTACTTTCGATGGTACCCCAACTTTCCTCTCTGGCGCTGATGCTTCTGCTTCGAGTGGTGCCTACAATGTGAGATCCGGTGCCGTCGACGCCATCTCGTCGGGCGATGCTGGATACACTGCTGGATACACGGCCGGAGCTGCCGCTGCTGGAGCTGCTTCCGTCACCGGATCGACTGCCGCTTTCGATAGTTCCGCTTTCGGAGGAAGCACCACCGCCAGCTCGCTCAACTTCTAAACACCTGAACGCCTTAATGATTATCGGTTATTAACCCTTGGTTACGGAAACGATCGTGGAAGAATGGCGAAATACCTCTTAGGGACGAATAAAATAGGTTTATTTTCCTTTAGGATGAGATTCCGCGACGACAGTCAGACAGAGAGCGGGAACGAGAGAGCGAGAACGAATGTGAGCTAGCGAAAGAGAGAAAGAGAGATGAAAATCATGTTCCAAATACGACTGCCATAATAGGTGTATGATAGCAAGAAGCAAGAAACGAGAAAAAGAAGCCAACTTTGTACCATAAGAAGATTTGTGAGATTATGAAAATGAACTGCGAAAAATATACTTAAATAAAATAAATTGAATCATAACTAGATCTTTAATTGTCCCTGCCATTAGATTTAGGATTTTTTTCTGAAGGTTAAGATGTTTCTTTCTTTCTGTATTGCTGAGACTTTCAGCCTTAGGCTGGTTCATCTCTGAGAAGGTTTACAACACTTCTAAGAAGTCTTTACAGAAGTTTACAGAACCTGAATATTCTGAGACTAGTTGCTAGTGTTTCACTTTCGTCGAAATAAGCTGAAGTGGCTTGCTGACGACGTTTTCAAGCTAAAACATGTCATCATCAAAGGTAAGTCTATAGCGCTTTGAGGGGTCTCGTCCAAAAGAATTGCACTCCGGTTGACGGAAGTTGCTTCAAGAAATACCTAGGCAAACTCTCCAGCAAATCAAGAGGCAAAGTCTGATAGACTTTAAATGGAAACAAATTTAAAAAAATCAAAATCGACTGTGTCACGAAAAGTGGTCAGGTTTTGACCACTTATAACTCTGTCAATAGCGGATGGATTTCAATTCTAAACATGCCAATCGATTGGAAATTCTTCTACAAATCTGCTAAAATTAACCCTTTATCAATTTCCAATAGGTCACTATTGAAAATTACACAAATGTCCAACTGTTGCAATGGTGAATAAAATTATTACCGACGGTCTGCAAAAAGCGCTTTCCCTAACACAGATTTCAAAATCGAATTCCATCCGGTCTCGCCGAACGTTTGTGCGCTTCTTCTTCTTCTTCGCATTTCAAGCTTATTGCATATCGCATATTAGCTTATTGCGTGCTCTCAACTTAGTGTTCTAGATGCACTTCCACAGTTATTAACTGAGAGCTTTCGATGCCTGTACCATTGTTGCATTAGTGTAATTGTGTGACAAGTACCAAGGAAAGTCGAGGAATTTTCCAACCCGAAAAATTCCTAGACCACAGCGGGAATCAAACCCAGCCACCTCCAGCATGGTCTTGCTTTGTAGCTGTGCCTTTATCGACTGAGCATTTTGTCATAAGAAAACGAGGCGTTTCCGAGATGGGAAAAACTGGTTTCCCTAACACAGTCGCCGAATATTGATACCGAGCACGTAATCATACGTCAGATCCTACGGTCGTGTCTTGGATACAACCTCTTACTTTTTGTTAATCCTGGATGTTGAATTTGCATTTTTTTTTAAAGCTTTATTAGCGAGATTTTCACTGCTCGTCGTTAGTGTTTGTTATGAAATCGGAGATTTTGGATCTTGTATTTTTTTTCAAATGGCGTCTTTGTCATTTTTCAATAAATTGTAGCACAAAAATATGATCTGGTCGAAGTGAGGTCTGAGACAAAGTTGTAGAGAAAAATGAAGTCTTTCCAAGGGGTAGGTCACTCCGCACACAAATCTTGGGTAATCTTTTTTGTCAGTGTGCCGCAAGTGTGCTGATTGTACCGGTCATAGAGCAAGCTGCAATTGTTTGTAAAATAACATCACGGCAACCCGGTATTTCTGACACCTTGAATGTTTTGTTTTGCGGCATTTCGGATTTAAATCTATAAGTGAACCAGGAAGCGAACTTGCTGGTCTGAGTTCCTCCGGTATATTTAATTAGAGGATGTTCCTGAATATACAGCCAAACAGCCCGTAATGTTGTGAACAACTTCAGTGACCAGCAGTGGTCCCATTCTATTTACAACTATCAAATGTCTACGAGATTGTGCCGAAGGTGTGGCGATGGATGTGCCCAAGCTGTGCCGAATCTAATTACGGCACAATGTGCTGAGTGACTTACCCCTTGAGTCTTTCAAGGAAAAATGAGACGGTATTATTTTTAAATTTTATTTTGAGTACGAATTTCTAAAAAGTGTTAAAAACTCAAACGTTTCACGAAGCATTTCTTCAATTTTTTTTTTAATACAAACGTACATAAATGCCATTTTTTTAATATTTAGCTTTTGGTAAGTACATTTTTGTAATGTGATTTCTACACAGAATATTTGAGAATATTTGAGACTCTTTAAATTGTTATATGTGCAAAAATGACTCACACAAAGTTTAAAAATCTGACCAAAAGTTGATGTTCTACGATTTTTGTAAATTTTCAAGTGATTCCTCGATATTTTCTACTTATTAAACTTCATAGATCCTGAGCGGATTTATCTTCAGGATTTAAACGGCTTCTAAAAAAATAAATGATCCTTAAATAGTGAGACGAACTAGCCAACTGCTCATAATCTCAATCGAGTAATTAAAAAAATATATCCCTAAATATTTAATACATTTCATATGTTTCAAAGGGGCCCTTCATATTTGCTATGGAACACCCCTCAGAGCGATTTAATTTATTCTTGTATTTTTTTTAAAGTGAAAATTTTCCGAAACATTCCTTTTGTCCGAAAGAGCAATTTTCCATCTTCAAATCACAGTTTTGAATCAAGCCTTAGTTTTGAAAAGGGCCTATAAAAATATTCTCATCTTCACACATCAAAAGGAAGCCCGAACGGTTGCGGAAATCGAAAAAAAATTCCAGGAGTAACGGTTTCCAAGGGAAGCTAGATGAAGCTCGTCGGAAAAAAAAAACCTCCGGAAGAATCTCATGGAGAAACTTCCAAAGGAAGATGAAAGGAATTTCTGGGATAAATCGCGCAAGCTCCCAGGTAAGTTCCTTGACTACTTTACTGGCTTTAGAGCAACGTCTTCTGGTAGTATTCCCCCTTTCACATTGATTGGGAATACTACACCAAACAACTTTGTCGAAGCTGCAACCCACTCTAATGTCCATACTTGGAAAAAATGGTCATGAAAACAGCAAAACGTAACAAAACATTGAGGTAGTTTATTAGAAAATTCATAAGGCATCCCCTTGGATCTCCCTATGAATTGTATATGTAATAGTAGAGTAGAAGATGCTGATCAAAATAACGTTGAGATTAGCTGCTAATACCTGCCTACCTGCAAGATACACCCCTTTAAAATTAGTGTTGAAAAATTATAAATACGGATGTAAATTCTTTACATGAAGAGATGGCAGTTTGCTCGTTGAGCAAAAATGTGCATTTTAAGAGCACCTACAACTTTGTAAAACATTTAAAAAAAATTAAAAATTCAAAATAAAAAGTTATGGTAAAAAGCGTGTTTTAAGGGGGTACTAGCGTGCTCCATTTTCACCCGATAACTTCGTTCACTTGAGAGATATAAAATTGACGTTTTGGACAAAGTTTCTTAAAATGACTTCATCTACAATGTTTTCATAGATGTTCAGCAACTTCAACAAGACATAAAAAAGTTATTTTCTTTTATCTTAGTGTATACCCCCCTTAATAAAAAATGTTCACTACTCAATTAAAGTACTTCATAAATGAAGAAATATTCTTAGAGACATCAAAATGCTACACTCAATAGTTTCGTCGCAAATAGCCATGTCCCACCTGTCGCAGGCAGTAAACATCACACATCTCCTGGCGAAGTTTGGCATGGCTGATTGCAATCCGTCAAGGACACCTATGGAAAAAGGATTGAAACTCGTTGTGAATGAAGGACCAACAACTGCAGAACCTTACCGTGAGCTGCTTGGAAGCCCTATGTATGTTATGATGTCCAACCCATTACCCGGTTGGCCGATTTCAACAGCAACCCGGCCAACAACATTGGATCGCACTGAAGCGGTTACTTGTTCCAGTTTCGTGGTCCAGTCAGAAGCAGACTACTCTGGCCACATCATCGAGCGAGTCGGAATACGTGGTATTGAGTGCTGCAGCAGCTGGAGCTATCTGGTTTACAGGACTATTAGGCGATCTTGGGTTGAAGACCGTCGAACCTGTTCCTATTTTCGAGGACAACCGAGGATGCATCGGAATGGCGAAAAACCTCGAGTGCAAACGGGCCAAGTACATTGAAATTAAACACCACTTTGTGCGAGACCAATGTGGAAGTCATTCCGATTTCGGACCAACTAGAAGACATCTTCACCAAAGCATTGGATGCTGGTAGATTTGAAGCCCTAGGAAGGAATATTGGACTAGACGATTGAGAGGGGGTGAAAACGCAGTGGGCGGTTTTTGACGTAGGACTACGTCTGTGATTTTTTATATGGAGGTACACTTTGTGAAAACCGAAAATGGAACATGTAACAAAATTATGAAAGACTTTGAACGTTAATTACTCAGCTGCCCCTGGACCAATTTCAATAATTTCATCACCAATCGATCAGAAATATTCCTACGCATCTGTTAAGCTAAGACTTTTCCTTTTTAAGAATATTACTGTTGAAAATTGCACGAATGTGCAACTGTTCCTTTGATAATTAAAATAATCACCGATTGCCTGCGAAAAGCGGTTTCCCTAACACAGTCTCACCACACGGTTTTTATTCAATCAGTGAGTGGTGGTGATTGTAGTAGATAGAGTTAGTGTCTCTAGCCAATGAGATTCTGTTTACATGCGAACTATCACGCTTCACGCTCACTTGATTCTACTCATTATTTATTCAACACTAACTCTATCTACTACATTCTTCCCCTCTTCTACTCTCCTTAATTGAGGAAGGGGGGGGGCATTATATCCACCAATTTGGGGGAATTTTATCTACCCTCTCGGGGGACTTTCATCTACCATCTCAGAGATATTTCATCCATCAGGTCATGGCAATTCTAACTATTTAAAAATTTCCTCAGTCCATCCATCAAGTCATGGCAATTTTAACTATTTCTAAATTTCTTCAGTCCATCCATCAGGTAATGGAAATTCTTATCTACCATCCGTCCCAAAATTACCAGGTCATGGTAATTCTATCTACCATCCATCAGATCATCGTAATTCTTTCTACCATCCATCAGGTCATGGTAATTCTTTCTACCATCCATCAGATCATGGTAATTCTTTCTACCATCCATCAAGTCATGGTAATTCTATCTACCATCCATCAGGTCATGGTAATTCCTTCTACCATCCATCAGATCATGGTAATTCTTTCTACCATCCATCAAGTCATGGTAATTCTATCTACCATCCATCAGGTCATGGTAATTCTAACTACCATCCATCAGGTCATGG